ATTGTTCTGCAATTTTGCTGCGTTTCCGTGGAAAAAAATAAATACCAATTCATTGTATAAATTTGTGCAAAACAAAGCTTCAAAAACAGAGGTGAAATTAAATGTGTGATCCATGTCCATAGACGTAGAATAATAATGAAGATTCATTTTGTTCAAATATTTCATATTACATGTTTGACACACTTTGTATTATCGAAAACTGAGAATACATAGTTCTCAATATACAGAGTGTAGAGTGTGTCAAACATGTATCAAGAAATATTTGAAGAGAATGAATCTTCATACTTATTCTATGTCTATGGACATTGATCACGCATTTATTTTCACCCCAGTTTTTAAAAGGATTTTTTTGGCACAAATTCATGCAATTAATTGGTATTTATCTTTTTCCATGGAAATGAAGCAAATTTTTAGAACAATTCAGGAGACCAAAAAGTTGTATTTTTAGTTGGTCATTAGGTTATGAAGATAAAGAATTCAAAAAAATCAGTGGCGCACATTTTATTGACAATAATATTCGCTAGGTTGCCCCCTGGGTCGCCACTGACTTTCATAATTCCGATTGAATTATCGCTATATCAGCCCCTCATGACAAGAAATATCATTGCCAAATTTCAAGAAAATCGGTGGAAGGACATTTGAGATATTCATAAGAAACCGAACTTTTTTAAAAGTTTTTACACACTGTATGTTGAGAACTATGCATTTCCGGACCCACGTACATATGAAATGAAATTCATATTTTATCATGTAGAATCACCCCCTTGATTTTTTGCGCCTAATTTCCGGACACCCTGTATAGGTACATAACAATTTTTCTATAAATCTAAATGAGGATAATTGTTGAATTAGTATTATGGTGAATCAATAAAATGTGTTAGAAAGATTTGCTTCAATTCAGTATCATCAATGTCCTAATTTCTTCACTACCTTGAAATGTTAAAAAATATGTTCGCTTATCAATGATATTCCAGCTTTTTATTGGGTTATCAAAGCAAGATATATCATCTCTCTCATACTTTCGAAAACATCTTACGTAATTCTAGTCAAGGTTTTAATGAAAATTTAACAGATATCATTCAAAAATCATCAGTCAAATGAGAAGACCTTTATCATCATTTGTAGGTTAATTGAAAAATGAACTTACCGACACAGTTATTCAAAACCAATTCAACAATAATAAAAAAATAAATAATCACGATAGAAATATGTATGGATAATTCAAAAATATCACAGATCTAGGAAATGAAGAAGCTATATCTAATTTCTGTCACAATGGTATTCACGTGTAAATTCTCTAAATATGTCGAAACTACTTAAACTTCACGAAAATACTCAAACACGTTGGTTATCGAAAAAAAACTTGGAATTTTTCGTCTTTGTCAGGCACGAAGAAGAATGAACAAGAAGTAACCACTGAAGTCGATCAACGAGTTTTTACAGGTCTGGCTTCGCAAGATTATGAGAAAATGTTTTCACTAGAGTTTCCAAATTCCTATATCTTTGTTTTGGGAATATTCTCACATGTATCATGAACATGGGAAACATGAAAAAATAAACAAATACATTGAGAATTCGCATTCTCTATCTGATGAGAATATGAATTATTTTTCGGTATATTCAACAGAAAACTACTACTTTCCTTGCTACATGCCACAACGAACATTGAATAACAACTATTAAATATACACCATAATTTGGAGACGAGTTTGAAGATAAAAATCTTCTGAAATTTAGAATATTTCAAAAGCCAATGAACAATGCATTTTCAATCTTTGCAAATTGATCAGAAGATTTTTGAATTCTTCTGAGAAGATAGTGATAACACCAATTATTGATCGACCTCATTTCGAATCAACTTTCAAATTTGTATTTTGCATTTTGCCAGTAATTTTCAGTTGTTTATTTGAAATATGCCTGGGTGAAATGTCCTTGTTCCGATTCAAAATATGTTCGACCATCACGAAACCTACAGTACGGGCCTGAACATTTTTATCAAGAAACTGAAGTGGGGTAAACATGTGAAATTCGATTGGTTCAGTTTGGTTTGGTTCGATTACTGATAAGAAGAACTCGTCGATAAGGTCATGCATTCGTCAAGTCTAGTTTTACGGGATATCTATCTTTTAGAATACAATATTTGGAATCGGAAAGAGTAAACACTCTGAAATCTTATCTCTTTTACAGTCGACTTGATTTTTGAAGTAATGCCTGTTACTAGGGAGCCATTCTCTGATAACAACATTATAAATCTACATCATTTGGAACTAAAAACATGAAACAATTTTTTTGGAGCTTTTCGATTACTTTTATTGGTTTCTTTCTGTTGAATCTCTAAAAGATATACCTAGGTAGTTTTTTTCGATTATTATCAAGAAAATAATGAATACATGGATGACGTGAACTGTTTGTTGAAGAACTATTAAGAGGTTAATAGGGGTATTTCAAACTTTGAAGGAGCACTCCTTTGCTGAAAAACGTCGTGAAAACAAAAAGAAGTAGGAGAGTTGTTTTGTTGCTAAGCCTCTTCAAATGTTTAATAAATTCAAAAAGCTCAAAGTCATTTCCACACAATGTTCATAAAATGAACAACAATGGTAGATTTCGGGAGAAAAACAACTTATTACTTTCCTGGCTAATGCCACGCTGAACATTGAATCACACCCAGTATATTTGATGATGCTCTCTCGAAATATGCTATTGTATGAATCGTTGGTATACAGGGTCACACGGAACTGCACCTAAACTTGTTTATTTGAATATAAACACCCAGTATATTATTCCATATTCCAGTAGAGTTCATTATTACAAATTCAACAATGCCGGGTTTGATGGGATTTTTTCAAACGACTACGAAGATGTGACAAAAAATAAAACGATTCAATAAAAAAATTATATGGATAGATTTTATTAATATAACACGATTGAAATAGAATGACGATAAAATAATTGGAATCAACCAATTTTCTCGATGGTGATAGCAACTGGCCAGCTCGGTGCCAGACCTCACCCCACTTGATTATTATTTGTGAGGCTACTTGAAACAATGGGTTTATGAGTCGCCAATTGTGAATATGGAAGAAATGAAATGGAAAATCACGAATTTATGCGTTCAATTTTTTGTCACATCTTCGTAGTCGTTTGAAAAAATCCCATCAAACCCGGCATTGCTGAAATTGTAATAATGAGCTCTACTCGAATATGGAATAATATTCTGGATGTCCCTATTCAAATAGAAAAGTTTAGGTGTAGTTCGGTGTGCCCCTTTATACCTACGATTCATTCAAAAGCATATTTCGAGAAAGCATCATCAAATATACTGAGTGACCGAATTTCAAGTCATACCTCATCGAATCACAAGTTAATGAAAATATGCAATTTGTTATGGAAATATAGCAAGTAAATCAGTTCCGGCCTCAAAGGGTTGAATTGGTATAGGATGGCATAGTTATCATCTCGTTATCAAATCGCGAGATTGAGTGCAAATTTCCGCACAGGAATGTGCCATTTTCCAATCATTTTGCTCAGGATAGTGATAGGCACAGGTGCCGTTCCATGAAATACAATGTTTTCACATGCCTTTGGAACATACAGAGTGGGCCTTTGAAAACGAAACAGAGGCTCTGTAGGTCGCCAAAACCGGATTATCAAAAAAAACTGAAACAGGTCAACTACATTTTCGAGGGGGACATCTTTCTAAAATATTTTCAACCCTGCGGCGTTGCCGCTTCTAAAGAAAAGAAGCAACAACTTTGTTATTTCAAATGGATCACCTTGTATTTTATTGCATTTTTAGATTCTCCCCGAAGAGCTGATTTCATCAATGCATCACACTTGGGGTCTAGCTGTAATGGTTTCAGGGATATAAAGTGTTCGAAATCGAGATTTTTCAACTTTGACATTTTTTTGTGTCGAAACTATTCATTATTGGTCAAAACGGCTCTCATGTCCCGATCTCAACTTGTGATTTACTATCTACTGACATTTATTTGAAACAAATACAGGGTGGTTCAAGATTCAGAATTCTGATCACCCTGTATCTGTTCCAGTTAAATGTCAGTAGATAGTAAATCACAAGTTGAGATAGGGACATGAGGGCCGTTTCGACCAATAATGAATAGTTTCGACACAAAAAAATGTCAAAGTTGAAAAATCTCGATTTTGAACACTTTATATCCCTGAAACCATTACAGCTAGACCCCAAGTGTGATGCATTGATGAAATCAGCTCTTCGGGGAGAATCTAAAAATGCAATAAAATACAAGGTGTTCCATTTGAAATAACAAAGTTGTTGCTTCTTTTCTTAAGAAGCGGCAACGCCGCAGGGCTGAAAATATTTTAGAAATATGTCCCCCTCGAAAATGTAGTTGACCTGTTACAGTTTTTTTTGATAATCCGGTTTTGGCGACCTACAGAGCCTCTGTTTCGTTTTCAAAGGCCCACTCTGTACATATAACATTTCGTTATCAGATGACGGTCTAAATTTCCAGCCATCTCTCCTACTAAATGGTTGGGTGTATACTTGTGAATCTGTTGTGTTCTCAGTTGTCACTCATTCTTTGAACTGTCAAGTTTGATGCGTTGGTTTCAATTCTAGGAACAAAATCAATCGACATGAATTCCATTCACGGAAGTATATTGATTCAGATATAGAAATTGCGGCAAATGAAGCAATTCAAACTCTAGCACCTGTTCTATTCATGATCAATTAGTTCTTATATTCCTTTTTTTGAGTAAACAACTGAAATTTGAAATTATTTTGTTCTACTAGGGTGCGGCAAAGTCCAGTTTCTCTCTTTCAACATTAAGATAAATGCGGAAAAGAAGAATTTTGGTTTGTTCCACACGCTAGTAGAAGGAATTGTGCGCCAAACACGTAAGGAAAAGTATCTCTTTCCGCACTTGTTTGGTAAACTACTATTTTTCCGCACTAGTGCGTTAGTGCGGTAAAGTATCTCATTACGAAAATAAAATCACTGACGTAATGTTTCAAAACTTACCATATTCCTGGTTCGAGCATCAATTGTATATTTTCTGGTACATCGAATCTATGTCCTGAAAATATAAACAGTAAGTATCTGAATATTTTTGTGGCATTTTCTATGGTTAGCACGATGTCGAAGATCGCATTCTAGCTAGTAGTCTAGCTAGCAAATGTTATTTTAAAAAAAGGACACCCAGTATATTTTCATGCATTTCGTTTTAAAGTCACATTCTAAACAGGGAGACTTCATGGCTTTCCGAGTTTCCGTGCTGTAGGAGGAAACGGGATAGTTTTCTCGATTGGAGCAAGGATATCAAAACCCTCAAATAGCAAGATACGAGTCATTTCGAATAAATTCGTTAGGAATTGAAGGAACAATTTTTGGAAAGAGACATCTACATTTTTAAAAAGCATTGTGGTCAACTGAAACGTGGATCACCCTGTATATTTAATTCTTCCTAATACACATTGAAAATGAAAATCGATCTGTTTCAGAATATTCCTCAAAAATGGATAGTTTGTCTAAAAATTAATTTATTAAGTACTTCAAGAAAGCATGTATGACGTAACTCTATGAAGGTTTACCTACTTATCTACAACGAAATTATGAAAATACCATTGTTGGTGCCATTGAATGTCCTTTGAGATTTTCTCAGTGGTAATTGAAGACACAAGTGGATGAATAATCTATGTGACAGTTTCTTGACAGATTAAATATTCAGTGGATAAAGAATTCAAGTGCATCGATAATTATGGTACAGATTCCTCAGGGACGCGCCTATACAGTGGCAACTGCGTGCACCGCACACGGGCGGCCACCCTCAGGGGCGGCCAATCCTAATCACGAGATACTAAATACTCCATTATCTTGAACATAATAAGTTTAATCTATGATAATACTCTGTAGACTATGAAAATCCTCGTGATGAAATGTCAATCCCATTCAGTAAATCTAGTGAATCAGCAACGACTTAACACTTGATAGAAGAACAAATAAGAACAAACAACATCTCTTACGCTGATGGCCCAAAGGAGTCAGGACGATAACGGTACGATTTCTCGCGATATACTATACCATCGCTTCGCATTAGCTGAATATTGAATGTCGTCGCGGGATATTTTAGCCATTGGACTACATTCAATTGTATGAAAATTTTGTCTTTGCGATATCGCATACGATGCCATTAAGCCTTTTTGGCATCAAACTAAGGACATTTTTAATCCACTTGTGGAAGTATCTCAGGATGATAGTTTCGATTTGTCGACTAAACATTGATCATCAATGGCTAACAAAATCAATAAATTTCGATGCATCTGTTCCAAATTTTTCCAATCTTCAGCAAATTTTTCCAATGTTCTACATTCAATATTAAAGTATGTCTTGATCAATTGAATTTTTTTCGCTGCATTCAGATCCGATGAAAACTATTCAAAAATTTTTAAAGATTCTCGGACTATAGCTGATAATTCAGATTTCGAAAGATAGTTTTCATAACCTTCTCGAAGAAGAAAGATGAATTCAAGATACATTTTTTTTATGTCATCAGCGACCAAATAATATGTTCTCACAATTCGAGTCTTTGGATTTCTTCGCTTAGCTTTCGGTAAGGACTTTGATGAAACAAGTTTACTCGAAAAAAAGTTAACAAATGAAAATCCTCAGGAAGAAGATATAGATGGGATAGATTTATTTAATGAAATAAAATCATTGAAAGTGATATGTCATGAAAATATAGAAAATGATCCACAACAAATTTTATAGTATATACATTTAATGAGCAGCTTTCCAAATATTTCAGTCTCATTCCGCAGTCGTATTTCAGTTGCTTCCATATCCATCGAATCTGAATTATTAGAAACAATTGATGTTGACGTGCTCATCAGAGAATGTGCTCGCAGCAGAAAGCGAGAAAAATTATATTTTCGAAGTATAACCTGAACCTCATATGTTGATGAATCAATGTTAATTTTACTATTTGTAAATTATTTGTTATGTTACTTATGATTATTAATAGGTTATGCTATGTTCCGTAAATGAAATCATCTCTAGAGACATCTTAAAACGAGTTAGATATGTTATTCGTTACTTTTCAGTTCCCAAAATATACCAGTTTTCAAAATCTGTTTTATTTTCAATGTTTTCGAGGGCGGCCCAGAACATATTGCACACGGGCGGCGAAGTGTCTAGGCGCGCCTCTGAGATTCCTTCTTCTATTGTACAGGGTGTTCCACTTAAATGTGTCACCATCCCTTATCCTCGTAATTCTCAAGATATCTTGGCCACTCAGAAACGTTTCAAGAAAATACAGGGTAGCTAAGAATAAACTTTTTTATTTCAAATGTAATGATCTAAATTTTATCCGATGATAATAATATATTTGAACAAATGTTTTTTCAGAGCCAGCCTGTGATTTGTTGATGAGAAGAAAAAGTATGCACAAATTCAAAAAATTCATAAAAAAATATTTCACAAAAGTTTTTGGTTATGATGCTAAGGATGGGTGACACATTTAAGGAAGACTACATGTACTAAATTAGATCCAAAAATATTACGGTACTATCAATTCAATAATTTTGATGGGAATTGGATAAATCGCTTTTGAATAAAATGAAAATATTAATAATTTCAAACCATGTATTCACGCCTTCCGGAGATATTTTTAATTCCAACGAAATATCATCAAAATAATTATGTTACTATGACCTTCCACTAATGAATTCAAAATTCGTTGGAACACAATAATTGCATATACAGGGTATCCCAAAAGAACCGGAACGGCCGAATATTTCAGCAACGGCTTGACATAAAATCATGAAATTTGGTATACGGGGGTAATCAGTTATGCCGGATCTAAAAATAATATTTGCAACGTTGCCAGTTTTACAGTTCTTCCTATAGAGCCCTCAACTTTTTAAAAGTAATGCTATGTTTATTTTTAGCGCATTCGCCTCAAAACTTCTGACCCTATACTATCAAATTTGTATTCTCTTCATTTTTGTCAATATGACAAATGAACATTTCGTCAAAAAATATCACAAAATTTCAATATATCGAGAAATCGTGGCGATATGACAATAAAAATTAATTTATAATGAAGTTTTCAGCAAGTCTGATCTAAAAATACCATTTACAACGTTGACAAATCTACATGTTGTTTATACTAAATCTTCCTAAGTATTTATTTAAACTGGCTTCTTGATTATTGAGCATTTTATTCGATGCCATGAAGTTATATTCTTGTAACCTAAACAAATCAAACCCTATTGATCATGAAAAGCTATCAAGAAGTTTATGAATTTGTTTCCCGAGAAACAAATAAAAAAATCGAGAGTTTGCCGATCTATAAAAAAGGCAGTTTGAATAAATAGGTACTTAGAAAGATTTAGTATAAACAACATGTAGATTTGGCAACGTTGTAAATGGTATTTTTAGATCAGACTTGCTCCTTATAAATAAATTTTTATTTTTATATCGCCACGATTTCTCGAAATATTGAACTTTTTGTGATATTTTTTAACGAAATGTTCTTTTGTCATATCAACAAAAATAAAGGGAATACAGATTCGCTCATATAGGGTCATAGTAGTTTTAAGACGACAAATCAAATGCGTTAAAAATAAACATAGCATTACATTTAAAAAAATAAAGTTGAGGGCTCTATGGAAAAAACTGTAGACCTGGCAACGTAGCAAATATTATTTTTAGATCCGACACAACTGATTACCCCCGTATACCAAATTTCATGATTTTATGTCAAGCCGTTACTGAAATATTCGGCCGTTCCGGTTCTTTTGGGAAACCCTGTATGATTTTCTTTGGAGTTCCTTAAAATTTTGTTAACTCCTTGCCAAATTGGGATACACTAAATTTCGTCTCTTCGCTCTGAGTGATGAGTAGAGGTATATGAAAACATCATTCACGAAGAAATAATTACAGGAAATGGGGAAAGCAGTGATCAATGCAGTATTTTCAACGGGAAGAAAACATAAAAATGTTACTAAAACTATAGATGCTAAAACCTTTGCTCCTTTTTTAATACTCAAGAGCGCGCTCCAGAGTGAAGTATTATATTCGATTTCACAGTCAACTTATACATACTTGTTCCCAAAACCTCTCATTGAAATTTTGTGAAAAAAGTCTATTGCGGACAGCTACTTTCATTTCACTTCACTACGAACACTTCAAATGAAGTGCTCGAGTACTTTTTTGCAAATGAATCGATTTTTAATCGGAATGCAACGTTCAAAGGATGCGTCTTTTCTGTTGCGGATTCATGTTCGAAAATTCCAGTTATGACATACCAAGTGGTCAAAAAAGAGAGTTATACATAAGCGAAAAAGATTTTGAAGAAGAATTTTTGCATCCTTCTGCAAATCAACTTTCTCGAATCTTCAGGACAATATCTCGAAATGTTTAGGAATCTCTGACCTTCCTCATACAGAATGTGAAATATTTTATTTTTCCGATATTCTGTATTTTTATGCATTTCTGTGGATTTATTAAAAAAGTTCAGGCGATATTCAAAGCGTTCTGCACTGTGATACGTTTAAATTCATTCCTGTTGAAGTTATCCACATGTCTTTAAGAGCAGCAGAACTTTCAACAACAAGAAAGTGAGCGTTTTTCGAATAATGTGTGTGTTCTGCTCAAATTGATGCTGCTTCAATAATATGATTACGAAATTATGAATCCTTCATTCAAATGGATTGCCCCAGTCAACATCTCGAAACAATTCCTTGATTTTCTAGATAAGTCAATTCCTGGAGCCGTAAGAGGGCACTTTTGCATTATTCAGTACTTTACATCAAATATTGGGAGAACGGTGATTTCCAGACATTCCTGAGTTGGTAGGTATGAAATTGAGAAGCCTCTATAGTGCACGTTTCCTTCATCACTTGGGAATGGTGTCCGTGACAAACGATTCAAAATCTCACACATTATTCGAAAACGCTCATTATGTTGTTGTCGAAAGTTCTCCTGCTGTTAAAGCCAGGTCGTGGATAACTTCACCAGGAATGAATTCGATCGTATTACAGTGAAGTACGATTTGAATATAGCAGAACTTTATTAAATCCACAGAAATGCATAAAAATACAGAATATCGAAAAATATCGATATGTCACATGCTGAATAAGGAAGGTCAGGAATTCCAAAAATTATTGCGAGATTGAAGAAAGTTGATTTGCAGGAGGATGAAAAAATTCCTGGGGAATACGGAGCTCCGAAAAGTTTCGCATTAGTAACACTCTTTTTGACCACTTGGAATGTCATTACTGGAAAACTTCGAAAATGTTCGAACAATGAATCCTAAACAGAAAGGACACATCTCATGAAGACTACGCATTTCGATTGAAAATCGGTTCATTTGCAAAAAATCATTTCAAACAACTTCGAAAATTCGAGTGGTTCCCTTATTGAATTCTTGAGCACTTTGGTTCAATTATCATTTTCCCAAAAACGAGCTGTATGGCCTATGAGACATGAATATATTTCATCCTCTTGTGTCTCCAAGTCATAATCAGACCACATTTTTTGCCCAGTCCGACCCTGGTCGGAAAAAAGTTCATTAAACCTGCTGAGCAATGAAAAATTGCAACAGGAATATGAACAAATGCACCGTAAGCTACTCTACTGTGAAATTCGAGGTGGAAATAAATGTGTATAGTAGGTATATGTGAATCACTTTTGCAATTCGAAATTAACTTGTTCAACTAGGAAAAGTACTAAATATACTGATGAATTATAATATAAATATTATTAAACCGTGTATTTCAAATTCGAGGGCCACCATTGGGGTCTCGTGAACTTAAAGAAATACGAAGATGGTTGAATTAAATTAGGGCAAAGTTGCATTTTAATCAATAATTATATATATGCGGTCGAGAAAATATTTGAATTCCGAGTATTTCCACTTCTGTCCTGCTATACGATGATATTTCCAGATTCTCTATGCTATAATTATCAATGAAAATTCAATATGGCGCCCATAAGAAAAAATAAAGTAGATGATGATACCGTATAGAGACGATAGTGAATCTGAAAATGTCATAGGCAAGGAATGAGTGGAAATGTGAATGTGCTATTAATTTTAATATTATTCAACAAATAACGCCAGGAAAATATAAAGATGAATTAACGAAATTTCAGTTTTTCCATATATCTCCAGAAATACTAGGGATTTTCTCGACGGCATATTCTTAGTCTTAAAATTTGACCATCTTCATAGTTTCCGAGATCCCAATGGTGGCACTCGAATTGGAATTACCAAGTATAGATCACAGGTACCTCATATTATTACACTATGAGAAAAGTTGAAATAGGTATTTTGATCATGATAATTAACAAAAAAATAAGAGTGCAAGATTTGGTGAATATCACGAAATCTAACATGATCAACTCTGATTACCTATACTAATAAATAATATTGCTACTCCAATACTGCTTTATTGTTTGAAATAACTACGATTCCTTGGATGTACAGGGTGTATCATTACTAATTGGGAATATTTTAACCATTATCCTGAGCTCAAAATAATGTAGATTGTCTCCTGTCTGAAGTACATGGTGTTTCATTTGAAAATTCAAAAATCATTTGTGCCTAGTACTTTGCGGAATCAATTGACGTATCATCGTCGTATTTCGTGGGAAGTGTAGATACTTTACATCCTACTGAATCATGTAAAATAAACGTTTCTGGCTACTACCAGAGGCGTACGACCGGGGCAAGTGACTAGTTGCTCCTTCCCAAATTCTACGCCACTGGCAAAATTACCATTTTATGAATTCCCTAATAATTTTCACGTGAATATTGTACTTTTTTTTCCATAGCGATAAATTCATTATTTATCGAGATATTTCAATTTGAACATGAAGCTACACAATTATTTTGATTTTGAGGTGTGTTAAAATTATTGATTAATGAATCACATGGAACTCTCAATCCATATTGAGAAAATAACATAACAGACAGGAAATGTTACAGGGTGTTTTGAATTTGTGAATATAATTAATAATAGATTTCACCAGTTTGCAATATAACACTTCGTTTCGAACTGTGAATACAGCATAAAAACTCAAATTGAATTTCAAAATTACATATATATTTTATGCAACCCTCAAACGTGAAAAAAACTAAAATTTGACCAGTACGCTGTATTCCTATTCCAACCAACTTTCCAAGTAGGGGTAGTAAGACATAGGATTGCATTCTAAAAAAAAACGTTGGGGCCGATTTCAGCTATCCTTGAAGCTGAATATTGCTTGCAAAATGTAGGTAAATAATACATCAAAACGTTGACGTTTCTCTAGAATTCTCAGGAAAATAATTCACCTCCTCGTTAGCGAATTTATTCTATTAAAATCTCCACCCTGTATAAATCTCGCGTACACTTTTGATAGAAAGGGCAGGTCAAATACGATAGCGGCCCAACGAAGTAGAAAAGGATAATCACCTATTATGTACCTACAATGTGCTCCTTCAAATTGTTGAATAATATCTATGTATAGTAGGTATCCTGGGTATCCATAAAAGTTTTCTAGAAAAGATTCTAACCTTTAACCTAACAAATTATGACACCTAACCTCACAACAACAAACTTACTTTGGTACCTACACCTACCTGTCGCATTTTGGTTGAGGATGATCAAATCAGAAAGTACTCAGTGGAAATTACCTACACATATTATTTATACCCATGCCTGTTATACGTGCAGCTTATATGTGATATGAAACATACTCACCCTCTGATAATAGTCTTTGTAGAATGTTAACCATGTCTTTCGCTTCTTTCTTGTAAAATTCGTTATCAGATTCAGGTAATAATTGTATATCTATGCAGTTATTAAGGAAAAGTTAGGTATATAAGGAAAACTTACCAATATAAAACAGAAAGTTCAAATCTTTTTCACGTTCACTGTTCACCAAGTATAGAAATATCGCTTGCTGACTCCAAGAAACCACAGAAAATCTAACACAATAAGCGACAATAACATATGCAAAGAATCAGGAAGGCTAGTGCTTTTTGTAAAGACACATATCCGACTTGTTTTTGTGCTTGGTAAAAACTGCACTCCTTCTAGTCTAGTATACCAACACAAATCTGTAGCAGGCGTGAACTCTGCTGCCCATACCCATTCAGTTCACACTACAACTGCCATAAAAATACGTCGACCCCAGCTGAATGAAACTATTACTAATATTTCATGCTTATTTATCAGCAAATGCCAAGACTTTTACGACTGTGGATTTTGTTTATTGAACAAATTTCTTTCGATGACCAATACACTCGGTATAGGTGCTAAAGGTGTTGAAGCAAGGAGCATGAATTCGTTGGTAATTGTTTTTTTTTTTTGTGGAAAATCAAATAGGTATCAGGATTTTCTCAGACGAACTACCTACCTCTAGTTTTTACTTTTCAGATACTGAAAATTCTTTGAATTCAATTACCCTAAAATTCAATTTTCTTGACCATGAAACTATACAGTGTGTCCCAAATTCGATCCTCACCATTATTGGGATCTCGGAAACTATGAGAGATAGAGATTCTGTTGAATCACGAAAGTTTTAGAAAATTTAATGTTGATTCAGAATCCGTTAAGAAATATGGACTAGATTCTGTTATTTTTGAGTTATTCAAGAGAAACTGAAATTTTGTATTTTCGTTCTTCTCTCGAAAATTAATGACTGTATGAAGAAACGACTTCCACATTCTAATAGGATGTAAATTTTTGTTTTAAATTTCAAATTTCTGAGAAATGACTTCTAACTTATTTTATTATTTCCTTTACTTTTTCTTTTCTTCAAACAGCGACAAAACCATTTAAAAAACCACCAAAAAATACCATCATAATATTAAAGTCGTATTTTCATACAATCAATAGTAGTAGTAGAAATATTCGAGAAAAACGATAATTCAATTTTTTTGTTTCTACGGATTCTGAATCACAATAGAATTTGCTGGAACTTTCAGAATTCAACCGACTCTTCATCTCACACAGTTACCGAGATCCCAATGATGAGGAGCGAATTTGGGAAACACGATATACAGGGTGTCCCAAAACTGAACGTAATCATTTTGAGGGCTGATAGTCCAGCTCATGACTGACCAGAATATCACAATATGATCTTGGTAAAATATTGATATCATCAGAGATATTGGCAGTATTGGCACTTTTATGAATGTCGTGAAAATCGATCAAAGCATCAGGTGAGGTGTGAGGGTGGGGGGTGCCGCAGAATACTGATCAAAGTTTTCAATTTTCAATTCATGATAATCTGACATGATGTGACATTGTCAGAATCTCAAATGCCGATGTGCCCTGAGTTTTGGATGGATTGGCCCTGCCTTCCTCCATAAAACACTAACTAAAATACCAATTTTCCAAATTTGATTTTGTTCTTTAACAATGAAAACATTGTTTTCGTCTGATGCATGATGCCAGCCATTTCCACATCACCTTTTTTCAGTATTATCGCTGATGATGACCATTTGAATGGTCGAAACATATCTCAAAAGTAAAATTAATAAGCAGAATGACCTGCACACTTCGCCATTAATCTTATTTTGGCGACTTTGCGTTTTTTCCTTTGTTCTTTAGGAGATTTTTGTGAATCTTCTTATGTCTTTTTCATCAAAGCTCTGCTTTGTGGCATACATTTATTGGAGTAGCTAGGTAATAAATATTCCTTTCTTCCTTCTCGTTGAATTATACTAACAGTATAGGGGGAATCGGTGTCGTAGTGGCCAGTGGGGTAATAGCAGCCTCCCTTTGTTAGTTGAGTCAAAAATATTGGTTTTTCCATCAACAAATGAATATGAATATTCCAACTAGGCAACCAGATGACGTTCTAGTGACGTCTTTTTCACGTCACTTGAATGACCAAGGTGACGTCAGTAGTTGACGTCGCATTGACATGATAATGACGTGAATAAGTCACAGCCCAATGACGTCATATTACTCACGTCGTATTGACGTCATTCACTCACCAAACTGTGACGTCCGACTGACGTCATAATGACGTCAAAAAGACGATTGAATTTGGCGATGATACGTAAAAAAGATTCCTTTAATATGGTGTGAATCCCTCCTGTGTCATGTTCATTGAATCGCCTATTCAGCAGCGCCATCCTTTAGTACGCATCTCCATCAGAAGCTCACCAAATTGGTACGTCACTGCAACGTCATGAGAGTAACGGTTTCAATATAGGTATACCTAAACAATCATTTTTTTATATACATGGCTTGTTGGTTTCCGAGATATACAGTGTGTCAAAGTTTTTTAGAAAAAAGTTTTTCTACTACTTTTCGGGTATATTAATAATTAGAATAAAACTTGCATGTTGATTTGCTTTCATGAGTTATACTTCTGTTTCACATGATAATATATAAGTATCCATGGTTTAGAGAAGGTCTGGGAAAAATGGACGTCGACAGGACGTCCCTGCAACGTCATGAAACTGACGTCTTTTTTTACCCATCTAAGTGACGTTCACTCGACGTCGAAACGATGACGTGATTATCACGTCATAGAAAGTACGTCATAGTGGCGTCATAAATTGGTGTGTGACGTCTCTGACGAAAAATCACCAATTAGGGACGTCACAGTGAAGTGATCATTCGTCATCTGGTTTCCTGGGATGCGGCTACGTTGGTATCATTGAAGAGAAAGATATGGAAAAGGAGAGAACTTTTCCTCTCTCTCGTTCAAGATAGAAAAAGACCTCAATCATTTTCAACGTAACAATTGCTCAAAATGGCTGTGTTGAACAATTGATGGCAATTTTTTGCCACATCTGCTATCTGCTATTGTATGCCAATGTTTTTATAGAGCAGCAAATAGAAATCCCATTTTTATGTTTTATTCACAGTTCAAAACACAATGTTACTAATGAAAACTGGTGAAAATGCCTCCCTCAAAATCGAAATTTTGATGAAAATACGTTATTGAAAATATATTTGACTTTTTAAAATTATTTTTTGATCTGATTCCTGTTTCAACCAGCTTTCCCATGAGGGGTCACGAAATAAGCCATAGGCTTGCATTTGAAAGAACATGTTGAGGCTGATTCCAGCTACCCCCGAAGGGTTATATTCTTAATATAGCTCGCAAAATGTAGATATCGCAAATTTTCAGAAAAATCATTCACCTCCCCGCTAGGGGATGTATTCCAGTTAATGTCTCCACACTGTATATTAGGAGCACTGCTGCCACCTGCATATAGGTTAAATAGGTACCTACTACCGTTCGATAAGAGCTTTTGAGAGATCAAACGAACTTATTACCTAGGTGAAGTTCGATCTTAATTATATGAATCAATCATTCAATGAATGTTCATCACCATTAATTACAGCCAGCATACAACCAAGACTCAAGAGTACCACAGCCGTAAAACATGGGTTTTCTATTTATAGGTAGGATAGGTAATTATTCTCAAATATATACCGAAGTAATCTTTGCCTTTACCATGCATTCATCAATTCATTTCATTTTGATGATCATATAATCTCATTATTCTCACTAATCTCCATATTGCTTATATATATCTAATGTATAATACCAATAATAGATTGTTGGTCAATAATTATAAAAACATTAAAAACATAATTTTCCATAAATGTTTTGAAGAACTAAATACTGGAATGGTCAATGCTACATCAAAGATTGCTTGACCACCATCTGGTATAAAGCGATCTGTTAATTATTATTTTCCTATTTCCACAGTGTTGGGCCTTCATTGGATAGAGGGCGTTGTCTGGTAGAACTTGGCTACAGAACTTGGCCAGTGCTTCTGGGTTTATTCCTGTATTCCTCAGGTATTGTATTGAACCATATATGATTGAACAGAATAATGGACACATTTTTAGAAAAAATCTCAGACCCTATCAAAAATGTTGAGCTGTTTGACAAGAAAAGGTGAATTAAGTATAGGACATGATTTTCCCAAATTCCACAGGAAATATCTGGTGAACAGATTCCTCAAACAGCAATAAAAAAACAAATCGATCATCAACATAGTTCCAAAATGTTTCATAGAGAAGTATTACAGCCACTATAAGTTGGGTAACGGAAAATGGTTTTTTCTAATTTTGACATGTAATGTGACACTTTTCAAAACTGACGGAAGTTTTGAAACGTCTTACTTTACGTAACCAGTTGCGTAAAGTAAAATTTTACATAACTGGTGATGTAATGTTCATTTCATTCATTCATTTCACACAACAAGAGTCGGCAGAACTCATGTAAAACTGGTCATTATTTTTGTTCATGCGAAATGTTTCGTCAAAATTAGAAAAAATATTGTACGTGACAGGTTAGGAAACGCCATTTTGTGTAACTCTGTGATGTTGCGGGATCTCGCTTCGCTCGTCCCGCAAAATCCCATCGTTACACAAAACAACGCGTTTCCTAACTGATTACGTAAATATCTATTCCCTGTTATTTCTGAGACCATTCAATATATGGAATAAAAATTGACACAATCACTAAGAATACTTACTTTATATGTTCTAGAACGATGTGACTCAGACAATGAATGGATTTTTAACAAAATCATGTTATGATTTCGACTTCAAGTTTCCTAGGACAGTATGTTTTTAATGGTACTAGAAGAATGAATAGGTACACAGTTCAACACGAAAGGCATTGTGGCTAGTAACATAATATATCGATACAATCGTGTGCAAAGAACAATCAACTGATGCGGAATTCGGAATAGCCGATTATTGAACGTCAGCAAAGAGTTTTCGACAGACTTCGGGTGGACTCAAGCTTATCGAGTACCACGACCAAACGACCTTAGATCTCGCGTTTCAAAGACCTGTACCAGTATACCCTAAAAACACAGGGATGTCCTAGGTACGTCTCATTTTTTGTCCCGTGGTACATTAAGGACATGATTGAGACATCCAGGGGATGTCCCGCAGTGGTTGTTCAGTGGACATCCCGCCTGGTACATCCCTAGATTATCCCATTCGTGTCCCTGGAATATCTGATATACATTCACATCAGGGAATCATTGAATTTCATAAAAATATTGAGTCGAATTTTTTCGAAAATGTATTTCATCCAGAAAATAATTGTGATGAAAATAAAGAATATAATCTCAAAACTTCTCAAGAAATGACCATTTTTCGCAAACAGGAATCGTAAATGCATAATGCCCCTCATTTTTAAACACCCAAGAATGATAATAATTATACCCGAATCCTAACAAAACTGTATTTATTCAGGTTTCTGTAGTTTAGTCATGTTTATAAATCTGTTCAATACATGAATCTTCAGAAGGCATATTAGCCAATGGAGTAAGGTGCGTGCCTGATAAGCTGAAGGTACCGGGTTCAATCCCTACTCGACCAACATATTTTTCTTTTGTCGAAGGAATGTCCCTGGGATATCCTTGGGACGTCCTAGGGATATCCCTTCTACGTACTCGGTACATCCAAGGGACGTACCCTTGGATGTGCTTTTCGTCTGAAAGCGGATGTCGCTGGGACGACCCTATAGTATGTACTTTGTCCCAAAAAGGATATCTCTGGGATATTATTTAATTAGGGACTTAGGGACGTCACTGGGAAGTCCCTAGGATGTACTCGTGTTGTTAGGGTACCTTGTACCAGTATATCACTTGACGAAGCTACTGTGTTAGCATAAGATGTTGTGTTTAAGAATTTTGTGGAAATCATATCGTTTGTGAAGTTTTTACAATTACAATTCATTCTGAAAATCTGACTACCCCACTCGATTCGACGTAAAAAAATGTATGAGTGACAGTTTTCCCTTCTCCTACAAGTTGAAAGACAGCTGAGATATAGGGGAGGTCCCATAAAATGCAACATTTTCGATTTCGTCGTATATCTCAAAAACGAAGTGAGCTATGAAAATTTTGTTCGCGGTATCCAGAGTTTTACAGAAAAGTAGCCAACGTTCGCGGAAGCAGCGAATCTCTATCTCTGAAAATAAGTGCGATATCCCGTATGGACATCGACACCCTGTACAATATCGAAGAAATAACACCTTTCGTTTTCCTCAACCCATTTTTTCATTAAAAAGGATACATTCTAACATGTCGGCGATACTTTGAGGCGGATCGTCCACTCTACCAGAGTATCGTGCCACTTCTTTCCTAAGGTCATGGAATACGGTATAGTACGAGGGCAGATCTATATCTTTTCGGCAGGCTTCCGGATGCAGACATTGTCGCAGGGGTAGCTGGCCGTCTGTCAACAGCCGGAAGCCGGAATTGTGAGGATCTGGAACAGAAAAATAGTATATTATGTAACAAGTGTTATAAACGTCCTTTTAGTATCGAGTAGTTTAAGCACGAGCGAAGCAGAGCGGAGCGAGTGTTTAATAAACGAGTGTCTAGAAGAGTTTATAAACGCGTTACATACTATGATTTTTCTACGAACTCCGAAAATTACATCAACATACTGCAATTCTTGCTAACCTACAAATTAATTCGGAAGTAATGGGCATTGAGAACATAATACATTTGCAACTGCATGCAACCAGCGAGACACGTATAAGTGATATTGGTTGGAGATGTGTCCAGTCCATTGCTTACTAACCTTTGTTTCACGTTTATTGTCATGCTCAGCGCAGAATAAATAAATTGTTCTCAAAGATGGATGCTTCATTTTCACATTTCTTGGAGATATGCAAGTACCAGAACATTCTCTTCGATTTCACTTTCGTCTACTTTTCGCATATATTTTTAATGAAGAATTCTGATACAGACGAATATTGTTTGAATAATTCTGATATAAAATTCGAAAATAACAGTTGACAGTTAATACAATTGACAGGCCAGACATGTCTCAAATTACTGAAGCTGTGTTTAATGAACTGCGTTGCCATGGTAATGTGTTTAAGAAATCGTGTTGCCATGGTGACGTGTTTAATATTCTGAATAAATCACAGATCGACAATCCGTGATTAATCGATCATTTAGCGTGGTACATATCCGTACGCTAAATGCCATTTTAGTTATGTGAGTAGAAAAATTGTATTTATATATCAAGGAAGCAAAGGTGTCCATTTTTTGCCGCGTGTAAAGTTTGATTTTTTTTGCATTAATCACACATGGGAGGAAATGAACCTTTGCTCCCAAGATATATATATGATTTTATCCACGAACGCATATATTTTGGAGCGTCGATCTGGAAATTGTGCTGCAAGCGGTGTATCTCTCGAGTCTCGATCCAAATTAATGTGTTACGTGATCTAAGGTTACAAAAGTGTAGTATGCGCCCACATAGTATGCCATGGACAATTATTGACAGTACAGTATCTTTGTATCTGAACGAAAATCAATTTGACACTTCTGTCATATTGAATTTGTTTATTGTGATATTGCATTTTATTTAAAGTTTCGACTTTCGATTGAATGAGTTTGGAAAATGAGGAAGTGTACGAGTGTATTGGAGTTTCGAAAGGAAATTGTTATTTGTTTTATAGTACTTAGTGAAGAATACACTGATTAGGTACTTGGGTAGCACATATCTTATACGTTTATCTCTGCCAAAAAAGCAAGCTGAAGCCGATTTATGTTACCTCCCACAGGAGGTAAGATTCTGTTTACTCCCGTGGGAGTAAATTGACAGGCTTGTGTCCTTAAATGCGGGAGCTGACGCTTACTAGATAAAATATGATTCTGCTGTCTTTCTTCCGAAATAAACCGATTGAAATCAACTTATCTCTTCACGAAAATGCAGCGTTGAGCCGTGAGAGGGCGATAAAGAACAATTTCATTTCCAGATTTTCTTCAATATTTCGAAATCCTTGAGAGGTACTGCTTTGAAATTCGTAGGGCCTTTGCGAGGGCATTTGACTATTCGCGAAAATCACGAACCAATAGATGGCTCTATTAAACGTCAAATCAACGTGAAATTTCAAACTCAGTATGAACAACAAAAACATTGTCGTATTCACTTATTGCAAATTGGTTACTTCAAAATCATTTTGCAAAATAGTGAAGAATAAGTTGACGTCTTGAAATACGTACAAGGTTTCCTGTATGGAAAAAATTACTTTTTCTACAGACGTCAAAAAATGACAAGGTTCGCGCATTGATAACAAATTGCGAAGTGACACTTTTTTTCAGTTTCCTTCGTTACCAAGATACTTTGTATAAAACAATGCGCGAAGTAAAACAGTGCGCGAAGTACCAACTTCGCGCATTGTTATGTAAAATATATGAGATATTTATATTTCAACTGTATGGTTCTCAATCAAGCAAACATCCACGAAATCATTTATTCCTGATGATGTTCAACAATAACTTTGTTTTATCTCTTGGAGCGCACGGAAGGAAATTCCTATTATGTTCGTGGAACATCGTGCGTACCTAGGGAGGATAGGGGGAGGCCTTTGAAGCCAGTTCAACACTATTTTTTATATCAAGCTAAGCATATTTTTACTTTAGAACTATATTTTTTGACGTTTGTAGAAAAAATGTTGTTTGCAACTCGAGCGCAAAATACTTTGGTCATCTCGACTATTTTTTAACTCGGCTACGCCTCGTTAAAAAAATCAGATCTCGATCACCAAAGTAGCATTTCGCGCTCTAGATACAAAAATAACTATTTTCTATACAAACGTCAAAAAATGACAAGGTTCGCACATTGATAGCAAATTGCGAAGTGACACTTTTTTTCAGTTTCCTACGTTACCATAATTCCTTGCACAAAACAATGCGCGAAGTAAAACAGTGCGCGAAGTACCTACTTCGCGCATTGTTATGTAAAATATATGAGATATTTATATTCCAACTTTATGGTCCTGAATCGAGCAGACATCCACAAAATCATTTATTTCTGAATGTTCAACAATAACTTTGTTTTTTTCTCTTGGAGCGCATGAAAGGAAATTCCTATTATGTTCGTGGAACATCGTGCGTACCTAGGGAGGATAGGGGGAGACCTTTCAAGCCAGTTCAACACTATTTTTTATATCAAGTTAAGCATATTTTTACTTTAGAACTATATTTTTTGACGTTTGTAGAAAACATTTTGTTTGCAACTCGAGCGCGAAATACTTTGGTCATCTCGACTATTTTTTCAACTCGGCTACGCCTCGTTAAAAAAATCAGATCTCGATCACCAAAGTAGCATTTCGCGCTCTAGATACAAAAATAACTAATAAGGTAGGTACTGGTTTCTTCATTGTAAACAATAAAAGGTCATGCAATAATTCGAGTTCTTTCATCAGGGAAAAATTAGGTTCTGGAATATGCACTTCAACAAATAAATTATTTTCGAATAAAACACATAATTATGAAACTCAAAACAATGGTCGCCATATTTGTTGTCATTGTTGTTCATACTCGCAAGACTTTTACAGTTAGCCACCAGAGGCCGCACACTTCGTGATTTTCGCGAATAGTGAATGTGCATGAAAAACCGTGAAAAACATATCGTACCAATTCAATCAATATACTGGGAGTTAGGTATTTTACATTCTCTTTGATAAAAATTAATGTAACTTCATTTTGAGTACGGCACTGACAACATTTTGATATTTCGATGAATGACAAAATCAATTACCCCACTTTTTTTTACCGCAGTGTTCTTATGATTTTTCTTCGTTTTCGAGATACCTACCAAAATGCATTTTGGTACTCCACCATACTTGTTCATGATTATGACGATTATCATGTTTTGCAGGTTCTTGCCCCATTTGTTTTGAGCTTTTGACCACAATAATGTAGTCATATTATGATCATCCATTGATGGGTGGCCCTAATATTGTGAGTTATTTTCGGATGCATTTTTCAAACTCAATAAAATTATTGGCCATCTTCTGGGACCGATTGAGGTATAGAAAATATTCTGATAATATCGTCTAAGTGATGATCTTTGGAATTCTAAGCTATCAAGCATCGAAATGTATTCGGGCCACAGCCAACTTCATGTATATCAATGAAATGCAATTAACAGCCAATTGATGAACGAATATCAAATTGTGATAATATATTGTTGAATATAGAATTTTAAGGTGCATTTCAAATTTCCATCTCTCCAAATTTTCATTTCTAAAAAAACTATAGGCTGTTACATTATTGATAATTATGGAAAATTCCTTCTTTTTTTCTCAAAATTGAAGGGATATGTATTTCAATAATGCTCAATACCTACATTTGTTGTATTACATGCGGAAATTTTGTCAGAACTCTTGAACTCCATCAAATTGCTTCGAGGTAAGTCGTCCAGCAATTGAATGTCGTTTGGAAGTTACTATGACAATAAGTAGCGATCTAGATTTTAATAGAATAGGCCCTGGTTTAGCCCGAATTGAACTAATTTTTTATAAGGAATCTTAGTATGATAAACCATCTACTGTTGATTGCAAACTCACCTATATGTAAATTACTACAATAAATGTCGAATTCTTGTAAAGCGTCTTCAATTTGTCTTCCTGTGGATTTGATGATTTCGTCCGTCAAGACCGATTCTGACGTCAGCTGTTCAGACAGAATATTCTCATTGATGTCGGCCACCTGCGGCCTTATGGGATATTGCTGGACTCCAACAACCTGAAAAAAATTAATTGAATGATTAAAATTGCAATGAATAAACCTCGGAATAGGTCAATGTACCCTGGAGGTAAAATATTGAAACACAAACTAACTCCTCTGTAAAACATTGAAACATTGTGATTGGAATAGTCTTTCACAATATTTTGGCATATGTGTTTTTTGCCCTATTCATCAATTCAAGCATACCTTCTCATTGTGTTGTTGTACAATGCACAAAAGATGCAGCGAGAGACGAAGGAATATGATTCTTCAGGTTAATAGTAATCTCACATACTTTTCATTATGGAATTTTGTCAATTCCTTCTGCCACTTCTGCAATTGAAGCTAATACTGCTAATAGATTGAAAATGTCTACAACACACACGATCATATTTCGTCAGCATGTCCGACCAGTCCTCCCGTTTGAGTGCATGAATCGAATCTTCTTGCATTCTTTCAGAAGTTTCACGAGTATCCTTATTAGCTTCTATTGCAGAAGGAATTCCGATGAGAAATTACCAAATTTCAAAATGAGAACTATATGTGAGTGACTATAGTAGCTACTTACTTCCTTCGACTCCAGCTGCATTTATTGTGCATTGTACAACAGCACAATGTGATGGCATGCGCAAATTAATGGATAGCCGAAAAACACGATTCATATAGAAATAATTGTGAAAAATAATTTCAATCACTTGTAAACAAATGAGAAAAGTGAGATTGTGTTTCAATGTTCTACCTCCAGGGTCGGTCATCTGACAGTTCTTGCACGCAACCCATGAACATCATTTGGAGGTTATGAATGCTTGAGAGATAAAATGGTGTTAATAAATGGGTGATTTTTATTCCAACTCAACTGGATACACTGAATATTGAATTGGTCAATTCAGATAATATTTTACTCAAGTCATTCATGTGAAAGAGCTGAGTGATAATAATTGTCATTCCATTTCGAAATTTACTAATGTGATTAATTTCCATTGTTCAAGTTACAAAATTGAATTGAATAGAATTTTCTACAGAGTATTTCATAATGTCTATACCAGTTCAGAAGACTGAATGTATATTTATATATATATACAGTGTGTGCGATTTTAAACTGCAACACCCTTCTAATTTGGAACCCGTCGACCGATTTACCCCGGATTTACCCAAACAAAAATTTTATAATATAGTATTCAACGAGCTCTATTCGAGAATGTGAAGAAATAAATAATATTCAGTATTGTCTAGGGAATGAAAACATATAAACATATTCATATATACAAATATAGTACTCAACGAGCTCTATTCGAAATGTGGACAAATCTGAAATATTCAGATTTTCAAGGCCTACTTTTGTTTGTTGAAGGGGTCAATCTCTCTTGGTCAACCAAACATTAATTAAATTGAAGTTGAAATTATTTTTAAGAACCATATCTTTTTTTCCTCGATATATAAATAATGGTAACAAATCCGAGGAAATATTCTCTATACATAATAATTTTCAATGTCATCTCAAATTTCCCTTCCATTTCGCCAAAATCGGTATATTATTATGATATGATTCTTTGCAGAGTGTTTGTCTGTCGTTCTATTTGTGTTATATTCGACAGTTCTATAGACGATTTTCAGAGTTAAAACTTACTGTGTGGTGAAGTGTGAAAAACGGTTTACTTGAGTTTTCAAAATGGTGATCCTCAACTTTAATTTTATTAATTTTTGGTTGAACTAGAGAGATCTTCCTGTAGAAGTTACAACAATGAAACTTATCCAAGTATTCGATGTGTTTCTCCATTGAATGACTTCTTCACCAGTTATATCGATTCCTCAGATTTTGATACAGGGTGAATCAAAAAATCAAAAATATCAAAATTTGCCATTGAATAACTAACACCCTATATGAGATTTTGCGATAAAATTTCGTATGGGGGTATTTAAAGTATATGCCTGAATCGAGTGGGCTAGTCACACTTTCAACAAAAAAAATGCCTAATAGTCGTTTTTAAAATTTTGACCCAATCAACAACCAACAGTAGGCCATGAAAATCTGAATATTTCAGATTTGTCCACATTTTCGAATATAGCTCGTTGAGTACTATACTATGAAATTCTTGTTTTTGAAAATCGGTTTCGAGTTCCAAATTAGGAGGGTGTTGCGGATTGAAATCACACACACTGTATACAGTATGATGCAAATGTATGGAATAAATTCATTTCAAAACAAGACGATTTCCGAAAAAAATCCAAAAACTAGAGTTCAGAACTTTTTTATTGTGTATTTTTTCAACTAGACGACCCTTCGATGTTCAATTCTCAGTAGCAGACCTCTGCAAGATTCAGTTAACCAAATGATAATCCATTTTAATTGCAATATTCTTATGCAAAATTTTGACTGTTGGATAGACGATCAGTAGACCTTCCAAACGAGGTGTCACTTGACCCCTGCTTGTATTTGAAAAAATCGTCCATTACGTCATTACTTCTACACCAGTGACGTAACATCTCTCATATGAATGTCATGAGATGAGGCTTCAAAAATTAAAACTCACGTGTTTTTGGAATTTCTTCAAATGTCGCCCATTTCTGAAATAATGAATTTATTCCATACATTTGCATCATACTGTATATACAAGGTGATTCTAAAAAAATAAAAGGTTCGAATGGAGTTAAAATCACCTCAAAATTAAATACAGTGGTATGTCAAAATAGGAAGGTGGGGGGTAAAAATAACCCCAACTTTTTTGTTCATCGCAATTTCAGTTTTTTGACATGAAATTATGAAATCTCAGGGCTATTTACATAGAAAAGGTGCTCTTGTTGCGTCTCGATAAAATGAACTATTAGCGAATAAAATTTAAAAGAAGCTTGTTTTTAACAATATTTTTTATTTTAGTATATTCAATAGGATTATACCATAATCACGAAACTCGTCGTATATTTTTAATTCATGAATTCCGACAAGAAATCCAAAATTTCCAACCTCACAAACCAATTCGGAATCGAAACGGACCATAATCACAAATCTGGTCAGCCACATTGGAGCCGCCATATTTTTTCTATGAAAGTCCATAACGCGATGTCAACTATCATCTGCCAGATTCCAAGTTGATCAGACGATTAGAAGTAGGTGAAAATTCAGATGCAAGATTTGAACTAGTATAGATAATTAAGCTTAAGTGCATACCAAAATTGCAATTTAAATGAAATCTTGAGAAATAAATTTTATTCGCTAATGGTTCAGTTTATCGAGATTTAACAAGAGCTCCTATTCTATGTTAATAGCCCTGAGATTTCATTATTTCATGTAAAAAAAACTGGAATTGCGATGAACAAAAAAGTTTGGGTTATTTTTACCCCCTACCTCCCTATTTTGACACGCCCCTGTATTTAATTTTGAGGCGATTTTAACTCCATTCGAACCGGCACTGAATAGTTAGTGGATAAACAAAATTTTAGATTTTCATCATGCAAGGTGTTGGAGATAACAATACAAAAACCTCGACAAAAACATTCTCCGAGGCCCCCCTTTGAGGGGCTCTATCTCTCTTGGGGGGCACTTCAGAAAAAAATGTTACCGAGGTTTTCGTAATTATTTCACTCACTGTATATACTCCCAACGATTGACCACCTATTTTAGAATCACCTTGTATAAATATGTTTATATGTTTTCATTCCCTAGACAATTTGGCGTTATTCTCGTCTGTCGATTCTTCATCCACAACAACAAAATAATAATTCCGCTAGGAAAATTTAATTTGATAGAGCAATAAAACAAAAATCGTTATCGTCCTCCTTGACCAAACACAATTTTTATGGCTCAATTACAACACTTCGATAATTATATTGAATGTCTTTCCATTTATAATTGTCGATAAAAAATTATTTGCATTGAGTAACTTTGGGAGAATTAAGAACCTCACTACGGTTGTTCCATTAATTGAAAAAATATATAAAAACCGTGTTCAAACGTCATTGCATAAACCTTGGACGAACAGAAATAAGTGAAACCGGTTCATTAATTACTGTAATTTTTATCAGACGATGATAACACATCAATTAGTTATCAAATAACAGAAAAAAGGTTTCAAGAAAGAATTACTTATTTCTTGTTCATGGGGCGTCACTTATACTTGAAGCCTGATGATTGAGTGGTCACAGTTAAATTATTTGATTGAGAGTTGAAAGTTTTCTAATGCAAATTTCTTTCACAAGAATATATAGACCATAGATCTTCGAGAAATATTGAGGCCTGAACCGAGGCCTGAACGTAGCATTTACTGCAAGAAATAACAGTCAGTCTTTCTAAGCAATCCTATAGAAATAAAATTGATTTGAGAATATTTACAACTTTTCTGTTGATCATGTTCAATTCCAGAGATATGCTGATCTTTGTTATCAAACAAATGATCCTATAGTTTCTCATGATGTTAAGGAATGACAAACTAAAATTCCATTCGGTTTGAGTCATATACTCCCCAATGAAAATTCATATCAGAAGTAATGTTTGAGACAAGTCAGAACTAGAGTATTCTACTCAGAACTTAAATTCACTCAAAGGAAATAGTTGAAGTGGGAATGGGGAAGACCACTGAGGGAAGAAATCCGTGCAAACCTCTTTCAATCGACGAATCATGATCTACGTTTTATGTACAATCAATATTATGAGTTGAAGTTGAAGGGAATCGAATCTATATCGTTTTAAAATCAGCATATTTCATTCGATATTTAAAAAAGCTAAATATGATGGTGAAGCCGTGACGTATCAGTCCCGAACTGTAGCTATCCCTCTCTGATACCTCGTCATTCTGCAGTGTTGCAGTGTGATTGGTCAGTTCAAGGGCAATAGGCGTGTTGGGACTGAGACGTCGCACCAGTCACACCAATGAATTGACAAAAATTCAAATGGCGCAGGAGTTGTGTGTTTTGAAATGAACATGTTCTAATTTATTTATTTCATCTTCTTAGCATGACTGAAAAAATTCAAAATTAATTCACTGATAGTTTTTCAGTATAGAGTTCACAATAATGTCATTTCAAAAAATCAGTGGTCTTCCCCATTACAA